AAAATTAATATAAGTGTTTAGTTAATTAGCTTTTTGCAACTTCAAAATGCTAAAATTCATAAAGTTACTCCAATCAATTTTTTCAATTAGCTTATTCAGAAAAGAAATTATACTAAACAGCTATCAGCTCATAACTAATTTATCAAACACTTTTATACAATCAGTTAATGTTATCAATTAGTTATATCATCTAATTAACTCACTCAGCTAAAAGCTAACAACAAGTCGGAAAATTTGAGTTATCAAAAAAAATTTTAAAAGTCGAATTTAAATTTAATCAGAATAATTAAGTAACAAAAGATGCAATTAGATCTTAAATGTATAGACTTCACTGTATACATATATAACTTAATTTTAAATTAAATTTTCGCTTCGAGATATTTCCTTGTCTAGTTTCAATGTTTTCAGACAGATTTCTTTCTTTCTTTAATTTCTTTTGTCTTTATAAAAAGCAGGCTAGCTAGTGTGACATTAGGATGTAGTATGAACCGTAGATTCATGTTGAAGCAAAGACAGCCCAAAAGGTTATGTGAATCTTGCTGGGTGTTATCTCTTATCGCCAAAACCGTGGATAAAGTGAAGTGTAGTCATGTTGGAGTTGAAAGGTATCAATCTTGACGATAGTTGCAATTTGGAATGCTGATGAAAAAGGTTTTGCATGAGGGATGACACTAACCTAGTACTAAGACTATGCACCTAGCTCCCATGACAATGGTTCAGCAGCTAAAAAGTTGTATTTAAGTGTTTGGAAATCCGAAAAATGACTTCTGGAAGTCATTTTTCGGATTTTTGGTGTTTGGCTACACCTGAAAAATCCAGTCAACGGAATTCCGTTGACTGGGGAAAATGAGGCCAATTTGGCGGAAAACGACTTCCGCCCAAAATTTGGGCGGAAGTCGTTTTCCGCCTTTTTTTTTTTTTTTTTTTTTTTTTAATTCTATGGTTTCCGGCGGAACTGGGTTCCGCCAGAAACCATAGCCTATGGTTTCTGGCGGAACCCAGTTCCGCCGGAAGCCATAATTTTTTTTTTTTTTGTTTTTGTTTCAAAGATTTAAAATAAATTTTTAATTTAGAATAAAATAATTAAAATATTTAATTATACCATTCTACTCTCATTTTCCAAAAAATGAACCAAACATACCAAAACAGTTTTCCAAATGCAACCAAACACTGGAAACGGAAAATGTTTTCCGGAAAATGACTCATTTTCCAGAAACCATTTTCCAGAAGTCATTTTCCTGCTTTCCAAACGGACCCATAGGACTGGAATTGGATTGAGCTCCTTATATATTAATGGAATAAATTAACTCGGGTGACCTGAATTAATTAAATAAATTATTAAAAAATAAATAATAAAGAAAAAGTGTTTATAAAGATTTATGTCTCAACGAGCTTTGACCAGTTGAGGTTGAGCATCGAGCTCGACCTTTGTAGCCGAGGCCGAGTGCTGAGCTTCGCCCTTGGCAGCTTGGGCCGAGCGCTGGGCTTGGTCTCGGGGCTCCAAGGGGCAAACTATATCATGCACACCCTGGTTCAAAAACGACGTCGTTTTTATAAGCTGGTGGGGAGTTGACGCGACGGACACCATTCCGTGCGTCAAACCGTTACAATTTTACTTAGCTTGTTGTGTTTATGTGTATTATGTTCAGAGTTTATGTGTATTATGTTAAGAGTTTATATGTATTATGTTAAAGGTTTATGTGTATTATGTTAAGAGTTTATGTGTATTCTACTATACAATTCTGTACATAAGAAACATGAAATTTTTTAGGGAACACACTGCATTGTGCGTCCTGATGCACGATATAAGAATTGGCTCCAAGGTCCGTTGGACTTGCCATGCTCCGCCTTATCGGGTCGGTTCGTCCCGAACCCATTTCTAATATATCCATTATCATATATAAAAGTGTACAATTTAATGTTGAATCTTGAAGCTGGACATGTTTGATTGGCCTCTCATGGACATTAGAGCCAAGTTCATTCAGTTTAGAGATTAGTCTGGTGAAATTGAGATGTACTGTTATTAAAAAAATAAAAAAGTATTAGGAATATATTATTCAATCAATTATAGAGTTGGTCTAGCTAGATAGGGTTGCAATTTGAGACTTCTAACAACTAATAATAAACAACTACCTACTCGTAATAAATAAGCTAGGGAAAAGATAGATGCTAATTTTTGCAATAAAATTATTCCTGGGCATTTCTTTTCTAATCGATGTGACAATTACTTTGTCAAATAGTATGCGTTTATGATAAATAAATGTTCATTAGTTTTTCACTTTTGTACAATTATGTCACGTTTATAAATAAAATAAAAAATAAAAAATAAAAAATTGTACAATAATGTGAGGTTTAGGCTTAAATAAATTACTGATACTGTTCAAAAATATTTATTTGGTAAACCTTACACCTATGTAATAACTTATATAAACCATACATGAAAAGTAAATTGTACTAAAAATTAAAAATCATATGCAACAAACTCAATTACAAGCGTGTTAACAATAATTAAACTCGTTACCTTTTTTACATTTATTTTCTTGTATAATTTTATCACATTAATCAATGTGACAAATTGCACGTTCATTATGTCAATATTCAATAACATTTTGATTTTTTTTTTTTTTTGTTCATCTAGCAACATCTACAAAGCAATAAATAGTAAATCCAAAAAATCTTTTGGAACATATAAGTCAATGAATTTGACATAGAAAGTATTAAACACAATTAACATCTCGCCGCAAAAAGCCAAATAATTTGCGGTGCCTAAAATCAATTACAGCAATATTTCAAAATAGCATTTATCACATTTGAAAAGATTTGGAGTTGTTAGTCGGAATACACGTTCCGATTTATAAAAGAAATTCCAACTATTACATAAAAGATGTGTACCAACAAAGGATCACACCACAAATAAGTAAATCAATATCAATTCAAATAAAGAAATCGAATTTCAAACGGGTCCTTGATACACGTGTATATGAGTAATGTTAGATACACTTTCTAATTGGAAAGTAAATGTAATTTTTAATTAATGGTCAATTATTAATTCATGGACACCCAATGAATAGAAGCCACATCATTATGTTACCTCATGATGTAGCTTATATGTCCGCATGAACAACTCAGTTAGTCATAGGGTTGAAGTTTAGGAAGAATGACCAGAGATCGAGTTTCACCAGCGCTAGTGTGGGAACAACCTCTCAAAGTGAGGGGACTTCTTGTGAGGCAGTAAGCAAAAATTTGGCCTGTGTGGGTCAACTCAGTTACCATGTTTTAGATCCTCCCAGATACTCTGTCGAGTCAGGATGACATTCTGATTTGTTAAGTTTTAACAAAATTTTTAGGTGTCAACTAGGAGAGAAGGAGGGAGGCAAAAACAAAAACAAAAAAAAAAAAAAAAACAAAAAAAACAAAAAACAAAAAAGAAGAAAGAAAAGAGTTGTGTGGTTCAACTGAGTTACCATGCTTTATATCCTTTCAGATACTCTGTCGGACCGGGGTGGCATTTTGATTTGTTAAGTTTGTAGCACAAATTTTTAGGTGTCAACTAGAAAGAAAGAAAAGAGTTGTCATGAAAAAAAAGCTATTGTTAACGCGCCCAGCGTGCATGCGTCCGGCTGAGCACTTCTGTGCACTTCACGCGAAGAAAAGGTAATTTTTTTGGTGGTGCCTACTCAAGGAGAAAAAGACCTTGGTCTTCCGTGCAAGAACCAAAACACTCTCCCCCATCTCCCTCTCTCCTGCACATAAGCATTACAACTTCAAAAACCACCGTGGTTGTCCTAAAAATAGCATTTAGTTACCAATTAGATGTTGTCATATCAAGAGGCATGAATTTTAGAAAAAAAATGAGGGATATATATATATATATATATATATATATATATATATATTAAGGAGTAGGTGCGGTAATAGGCTTCAGGTAAAAGATGGGGTTTAATCTCGACCCTTGATCTAATCAAAATTAACAGTCCAGATTAAAGAAAACTTTAAAAAAAAAATATTGCGGTGGCAATGTGGTCATTTTCCGTATTGTTGAAAGTTAATGTGCGTAGCTTCTGTGTTTAATGTGTACCGAGTTTATACTTAAGATACGTGGATTTCTGTGCTTAGGTGTATTAGCTCTTCAGTTGGGGGTGGGAAAGTCAGAGTCGAAAAGAGGATTCCTCACTTCTTTCTCTCATTCAAAACCGTGCATGAGACTTTCATCTCACACGGCTCATAAGTGATAAAAGAAAGAAGATGGGTTCTTCTTTCTTTTTTGATTACCTTCCTCGCGTATGTATAAGATCGAATCCATTCGATTTCTAAAAAGGATTACTAATCCTGAACTTTTCGAGGAATCCTTCATCAGTGGTTGTGAATGACTGATTTTTTCAATCTTTTCGACCTTGGTTCTGTAGGAGCAAGTCAGAAAGATTGAGAAATAAATCCATCTGATTTCATTCGTTCTCAATAGCCCCGAGATGATCATCTTAGGGTGATCCTTTTGTCGACGGATGCTCGAGAACTTAAAGTGTGGTTTTTCTTGAAACTTAAGTGCGTTAATCTAAAGCTTTAAGTGCTTCTTTCCATAACTTAGGCTGTGTCCTTTTTACTATTTAAGGTGCGTAACTTTTGTGTTTAAAGGTGCCTCAGTTATTTAGTAGTCTTACTTTCAAGTTTGTCTAACCAAAAATTAGAATAATTTACAAAAATATCATTGCATTGATGAATGATAATTTTATGTACAGGTGAGATTATATATATATATATATATATATATATATATATATATATAATAACAATCAGGTGTCTGAAAAATCTTCAATCAATCATGAAAGAATCAAGGCAAGTGAATGCATTGTTTCTACATCAATAAACAGATTTTTTTTTAATTTTAGTGTCTGCCGAATCTGACCCGACCGCCATTACTGCAGCGAAAGATGCATATAGAGAGATAGATATATATATATATATATAAAACTCTCCCACTTGCACTTCCTCTCTCTCTACAAGATACTGTAAAAAAAGGCAAAAGCGCCGGCTAGCCTTTTACAGAGCTTTGTTCTCTGGGCAATTGGGCCCCATCCACGCAAGTATGAACGTTACTTCGACCAACTTTTTCGCCTATATATATAAACAATTCCCATTCCTTATACCCCAAAAATCCTTACCTCTCTTAATTCACATTTTCAGCATTGAAGAGAAGAAGATCAATTTGGTGTTTTTCTGCTCATTTCTTCTTCTTCTTCTCTGAAAATGGCACAGATGCGGTTCTGGGCTCTTGCTCTGTTTCTAGCCTCCGGAGATCTGTTGTTTTCAGGTGAGGATTGGACCGGAGACGAGAATTAGCGACATTGTGATCTTAATTTGACTTATTCAAGTTATGAAAATCAATAATTGAATTTGAAGTTTTGTGGTTACTAGGTTAAAATCCACGACTAATTTGGCTTGAATTTATGTGTTTGCTGAATGTTGTTTGGTGTTTTTGATTGATTGTAGTGGTGAATTCGTCGGCGACTTTTACGATGATAAACAAGTGTGAGCAAACGATTTGGCCGGGCATTTTGTCGAACGCCGGAGTTGCGCCGTTAGATACCACCGGGTTTGCTTTACAGGCGGGCGAGTCGAGGACGATTAATGTGCCATCGAGTTGGGGAGGTCGATTCTGGGGGAGGACGCACTGTTCGCAGGACTCCACCGGGAAATTCACGTGCGTGACGGGCGATTGCGGCTCCGGTCAGGTGGAATGCGCCGGCGGGAACGCGGCGCCGCCTGCTACGCTGGCGGAGTTCACGCTGGACGGGCACGGCGGGATGGATTTCTACGACGTGAGCTTGGTGGACGGGTACAACCTCCCAATGCTGGTGGTGCCGCAGGGCGGGACGGGCGACAACTGCAGCAGCACGGGGTGCAGGGTGGATGTGAACGGGCTCTGTCCGTCGGCGCTTAAGGTGACGAGCTCCGCCGGGGAGAGCGTCGCCTGCAAGAGCGCATGTATGGCCTTCGGCGACCCGCAGTACTGCTGCAGCGGCGCGTACGGCGCACCCGACACCTGCAAGCCCTCGTCTTACTCGCAGATGTTCAAAACCGCCTGCCCCACCGCCTATAGCTACGCCTACGACGATAAGACCAGCACCTTCACCTGCGCCGGCGCCGACTATACTATCACCTTCTGCCCATCACCCAACACCAGGTACAATCCTTTCTCCAATTCCCTTTTCATAACACTATCTTCTATATTTCTCATCTCATCAAAAATGACATTTTTGTCTATTCATATTTATAATTACAAATCAAATAATCTTTTATAATCTCGTTTCTAGTAAAACAATCTAAGTTGCTCATAGCTGATCAGCTCTGCTCAGAGTAAAATCTTTTTGATTACCAAGCTAACAGCTTGATTAACTTAGTTAAAGTTATCCTTAAAATATTAAATCGTGTTATTTTAAAAAGTGGGTTAAAGTAGATAGTAATTTAAGTCGGTTAAGTATGAGGTCGGGAGTTCGTGTTAAAGAACTCCAACTCTATTGAGGTTAGACTTTTGCTTACTATACATAAGGAGTTTCTTCACTTTAAAAATCGTTGGTGAGACTCGATTTTGAATTATTGTGACTAATTGAGCTGTCCATACAACGTGACAAACAAAAAAATCTTTATGATATGGTTGTTGGAAGGTCATGGAGTGAAAGTCAGATAGTATGGGTGGGAATCTTGGGCATCCACCATGAGTGCACCACCACCTATATTCCTTCATCAAGTCGCAACCAACCTGTTTCTAGTTGGCATATATCTCTTTTCAACACCAATCCAATTTTTTTTTTGTTTGTTTTAAAAACACACCAATCCGAATATAGTCCCCACTCTTCCATATTTAGCCCTTCATTTTTGCGTGTTGAATTGCCCATTTGCCCATTCTCCACCGACTTATAGTCATCCCATTTTACCCTGTTCACCTCTCATTTAAGAGAGCAACTAGATACCATTAGACCACAAGATCTTTGGTAATAATCTTACAATTTAGAACAATTGATGAACAATAGATAAATATATAATTATAAGAGCGAAAGGTTAAGTATCATAAAATTTGGTATAAATCAATATAATTTATCTTTCTATATATAATTCTATGAGATGAGATAAGAGTTTTTGAGACGAAAGATTAACTTGGTGTGAATAATAAAAATAGCAATGCTACCGCCCACTATGGAATTGCGGGCTACGCTTTTCCCTGCCAAACTGCGTTAATTAAAGCATTAAAAATGCCTCTATTCCGTTAGGCAAAACGGTCGGCGATGATTCCGAGACCGTCTAAAACTGCGTGAAATCTGCATTTTCTTCTGTCCATACCTGTTTTCGTCGTTTTCGAGAAAATAATTTTATTTTGTTAAAAAAATATTGTTTTCGACGTTACTGACGATCATATTAATAACTATATTGCAGCCAAAAATCGTCGAATTCCGGTGCCGGCGACAACGGCGGCGGAAGCGGGAGCGGAACGCCGGCGGGAATCGACAGCACGATGGTGTACGACGGAGCATTGGACGTGAGCAGCGCATATTCAGTCACGTGCGCCCACGTGTTCGGGTCTCATGCCGTTGCCGGTGCCGTCGCTTTCGTAACAGCAATGTGGCGGTTGTGTCAGCTATTCTAACGTCTCTTTTAACCTTTTCTTTTACCGTCCGCGGCCCACTACCGTCAAGATCCGGCCCATATAGCCTGTCGGACTTTTGGTGTTATGTCACGTGTGGACCACATGCCTTTTCCATGGGCCTCGTCACCCGGCCCATGTGACTCGGAATTGAGTCACTAAAAGCTTGACGCGTCACCAACCCCCACTAATTTATTATTAGTGAAATCTCGAGCGATATTCATACAATATATTATTTATTATTAGTGAAACCTCGAGCTATAGTCGTATAATATACTATTATTATTATTATTATTATTATTATTATTATTATTATTATTATTATTATTATTATTATTATTATTATTATTATTATTATTATTATTATTATTAATGTTGAAACCCTGACCAGATTAGGCACACCCAAACCAAATCAGGCTTAGGATACAAAGAGAGAGATTATTTAGTTTGGAATTATTTTTTATTTTTATATATTGTATTATTTAGATAAGATTGGGATTTAGAGGGGATATTCGTTTAGTAGGTTTAGAACATGTTGTGTAAATTATGATATCATTCCAATAATGAAAGAATTATTATTATATCTTTTTAATTTGTTTGTATTCTCAATGTGTCTTTCTCAATTTTTTTTTTTTTTTTTAATTTGTATGAACAAAGAAGCCACTTTGAGAGAAATAAAAATATTTGATGGACAAAGGGGAATCACTAAAAATAATTTAATTTTAATAATAATAATAATAATAATTGAGATGATGATGTTAATCATTTGGATAATGTAAACAAAAAAATGTGTGTCAAAGGGGGTGGATGGTGATGCCCTGCACTTCACTTAACAACATGTCATGTGTTGCCTAAAATAACATTAAATTTGTGGCAATGAATTGAAGTTTGTTTTAGAGTTTTGGGATATGTGTATAATCTAGGGATGAAAATGAAGTTTTAGTTAAAAGTCCATCTCTTATACGAGTTTTTTACACTAAGTCTTTTAAATATGATTTTTTTTTGTATAATATGTAAATTATTAAAGTAAAATAAAATTTATCTGTGGATCATTCAAATAGTGACGGCAGGTTTTTAACTCACCCCTAAAAAATATATGTATTACTCTATAAAGAAAAAAAGAAGAAGAATATTTTATACTATATTCAAGATTATATTTTCTTTTGCTTTAAGGATAAGTCTCTTCCATTTCCTTTCCCTTTTACTCTTCTTCCCTCATCAAATTATTATTACTCAATTCTTTCTTCTCCAATTGCATAGCTTGCAAGAAAGCCAACTTCCATGGTTGTTTATTATGCTTATCCGGTCTACTTTTTTACCCATTTGGCTTGCTTGCTTGCTTTTATAGCAATAGCCTTATAAGGAAATAATGTTATATATATCTAGACACATTTCAAAATAATCAAATAAAGATAATGACGATAAGATTTGAATTTAAATTTACTATTTGGGAAAGTAACGTAATTTTCCGCCAAACTATACCCTAAACACAAAAGTTGAAAGATGGCACTCAATACATGATCCCTTTATTTACAAAAGTTGATTACATGTTATTTTTAGTAATATTTGGTTAATATTAGAGTGATTTATACTTTCTAATAGTATATGGTATTATCTAGTACCATTAGAAATCATTTTCAATAATACCATGGACAATCATTGACTGTACATGGTATTTTTTTGAAAGCATTATGATTGTACTAGATATATAGTTTTATTGGTAATAATTTTACGTTTCTATTAATACCAAGTACGTAAAATCTATGATAGCATTATGTGAAACCATTCGAGATTATATCATGTACAATCATGAATTGTATTGGTATTGTTGGGATTAATGATTTTCAATTATACCAGGTATAATCACGTACTATTAGAAAATATTCTAATATTATATAGTTGTCAGTTGTCATTATATTTTAATAAAAACAACTATCATTCCAGATTTATCAATTTTTTCAAACAAAATAACATATACTCCATCTGTTTCATTTACATGTTATGTTTACTTATTTTTTAATATTTTAAATTTATTTTAAAATTTAATTTCTCATGTTTAATAGTACCTTTAATGTAATTTCTTAATATATAAATTTTATACACTAATAATAAACTTAATATATTATGAAAAAATTAAATTAAAAATAACTTCAGTAAAATTTCATTAACTGAACTAAACATATAAAATTAGATGGAGAGAATATCATTGACTTTTAAAAAAAATTGTTGTTGTTCTTGTTGCAATCATAATGCAAAATACACTGTATATTATAATTATAATTATAATTATAATTATAATTATGAAGGTCCCGTGGATTAGACTTGTTGACAAAGAAAAGTGGCAGGACTATGACCACGTGAAATTTAATTATTGTGATGAGGATTTTGACAAGATTTATACCTCTCTTGTCTCGACCCAACTCAAAAATAAATCTTAAAGTTTTACTTTACTAGCAGCAATAAAGTGCATTGTTCAATTATTCTCTTTATTTTTTATATTACCGACATGATATAAGCATGGTCGTAATTCGATTCCGATTTTGAACCGTAAATTCATGGTTCTAAGAAATAATAAATTAAATCTGAATCAACAGTTCATGTTTGAATTGCGGGTTCAAAACTTTTTTTTTTTTTTTGTAAATCTTATCTAGCATATATATATATATATATATATATATATATATATATATATATATATATATATATATATATATATATATAAAAGACGCTCATATGTGGTCATGTCATTAGGTGTGATCGTGTGGTCGTATCTGTGTCGTTGAATCAGTTTAATCTAACGGCAGTGGTTATTCTGAGGATTTTCGCGCGTTTTGGTAAGTGGGGGTGTTATGGTAATTATAGTGACCATTTATAGCGGGCGGGTTCCAGAATACACCAACAGTGTTGACTGTAACGTTTTCCCTATATTGTTATTATTATTATTAAGTCTATTATTATATAATAACAATAGTAATTTAAGTGGTGCAAATCAATAGGCTGACTAAGTATTAGAACTTAGTCAGCATTAGGTAATTGGTTACCTACATTGATGGGATGTAGGTTATTTAGACCCCTAAGTCCTCTCACTGCTCGGTTGACGTATCATACACCTATCTAGAGTCACTGAGAGAAGTGAGAGAAACATAACTGAAACTTACGCAGATTTTACAGCAGCCCGAGGAACTTCTGCAACGAGTCCCTGGTGATCAAGAATCAAAGCTATGGCTGGAGGTTGGTGATCCGAACTCTTTTCATTAGCCACGTATTTACCGTTTATTACGTGGATTATGTGCTTACATTTGGTATCAAGAGCCAATTTTATCTCTGCCTAGCCTTGTTTAAATTGCACAATTCAGTTTTTTTTTACATATGCTATATTTTCATGTATAATTTAGAATATGTATGCTCTGTGCAATTGTGTTGGGCTGCTGGAAAAATTGTGTGTTCTTTTTCCGCATTTAGTTAAAAAAAAAAAAAAAATTCCAGTTTTTTTTTTCCCCGTAAACCTCTGCGCAATTTCTTCGCCGTTTTTTTTCTTCCCGCTCGCCGGCGAGGGGAGTGCTCGCCGGATTCCGTTCACCGGCGAGGCACACCCCTCTGCTGGCGCAGGCCGACTCCCGTCAAGGACGGCAGTGGTGGCGGCACTGGGTTGCTCCCGATAGTGTCGCCACCAACTGCCTCCTTCAATGGCGCGGTGGTGGCCGGCGGCGGAGACAAGGGTGAGGCGTGGCGGCAGTGACGACCGGTGGCGGTGGTGTTGGAGCCGGGTCCTCCCGGCCTCTCCGCCGCTGCTTCTTTCCGTCTCCGCTTCGGTCCTGCTTCTCCGCTTCGTTTCCTCTGTACGCGATGCGCAGATGAAGGAGATGATGAGACTTGGTTTTTGGGCCGGGTCTGGCCCAATTCGGCCAGACCTAGGCTCCAAAAAAAAAAACAATTTTTTTTTTTTTGGCTTTGGGCTTGCCAGAAATTTGGGCCCAAAATTTTTTTTTTTGGGCTTGCAGGAATTTTTTTTTCTTTTTTCTCTTCATCATATTTAGCTTCTTCTTAAGGGTTTTATTCATATGGTTTTTTTTTTTACCTAAAGTTAATATTAAATTATAATTCTTGATCAAATTATTCTGTCTCAATTTGTTGGAATTTTAATTTAATATTGAATTTCAGTTTAAATTGTATTCAGTATTGCAATTTAATTGTGGAGCATGAGTTATAACATGCATAATCTGAACATATTTTATTGTTTATTGCGTTAATTATTTGATTGTTATAATTATGCATATGTTAGAAAAGCATGTTCTTTAAGTATGCATCTAGTGCCTTTAGGTCTAAATTATATGCCTATTAAGCATGTTATAGTGCCTTTTAGGTGAATTTAGTGCCTTTTTAAGGATAGATTAAGCATGTTAGTTTACTCATTTGGTTATTGCTCCGCTCGTGTCTTTCTAAAGCAATGAAGCACATAAAGTAAATCAATGTTCTAGTTTACCCAAATTTAAGGCCTTATCCACAGGTTTATAACCATATTATAGATCATCCAAACAATTTTACTTCAAATATGAGAATACATGACTTAGGGAAGTTTCTTGGGGAGGTATACTAGTTCTATGGCCCTGGCTTAAATGCCTTGTTGCTACTAGTCCCCTTGCAACGCTACTCTGTCTAAGGAGTTGGTATTTAACCGAGTTTCGTCTCGACCAACTTTCCTGGGAGTATACCTAAAGATTGTCTATCATGTTTTGGTTTAATTTGTTTGCTAGGCTTTAAACTCCCCTTTGCCAAGTGATTACAGTTTTGTAATTAAAGAGTAGCCACAGCATCTTTAATTGCTTAAATTGTATTCAGGTTAACTCACATAAAGAGTTGGCAATATCCTTGTAATTAATTCTATATGATATGGCGAAATTTAGCCCACAGGCAATTTTGTTGTATTTGTAGGATTGATTAGGATGAAATGCCAGACTATGATCATAATTTGCCCACAGGGATTATGTATCGGCATATAGTTTTGGTAGTTTTGTCATCAAGGGTGGAAACACCCAAACCGTACCCTTTCTGGTTTTCACCACTCAGTTTGGTAAATTCATTATGCGTAAAAATTTAGCCCACAGGCAATTTTTATGGCATTTGAGTTTATCTTTTGCATAAGTTTGCATTGGCAAAATATGCACTTTAGTTCATTTATGCCTCGAAAATCAAAACTAACCAATTCATAATTTCCTTTCAGAATTTACCCCAACTAGCTCACCCATCCATG